CCCCAAAACCCCAAAACCCCAAAACCCCAAAACCCCTTTTATCAGTTATGGCTTTGAAAATAAATTTTAATGAATTACATTTTAGCATGTTGAAGATCATGAAAGCTAAATGCAATTCGTACAAACTTATGACGCTCATTTAGGGCTAATTTATTAGTCTGGCTTCACATTCTTCCTCAGGGGTCTTGCAAGATTGATTTTTCTACATAAATGTTAACAACCATTAGAGGAATTGTTTAGAAAAGCTTAAAAGTTTGGAGCTCTTTGATTTTATCTAGAAACTTACAAGGAGGTTGCCAACTAACTCAGGGAGGTTTAATTCTTTTAGATCTTTACTCATTTCAAGTTTTAAATCAAGTTTAAAGTGTAAGTAATTAAGTTCTTTTGACGATTCTTGATCTGACTGTGTTGTATTTGAGCTCATTTGAGTACTACTAGTTTCTTCAACACTTGGCATCATAGTCCTCCTGCGAATAATAGCTTTAGCAGGGTTATGATGAGGATCTATCGTATCCATTGGAAGGTATCTCACAGTTTCACCAAGGTTAAATACTCTCTCTCCATCTCTCGGATAATCTTCTCACATACAAACAGGATTGCTAGAAAAGGGTTGAGAAATGGCATTAGACTCTTGAGAAGGTCTAAGACTTGAAGAAAAATCTATTTCTTCATGAACTATGTTTCAGTAATATTCCTGTTCGGCATCTTCTACCAAACTAAACTGAAAGATCTCATCTATTGTGGGTCTTTGGCTTGGAATCTTTTCGAGTAAATTCAGTAATAGATGCTGAAGATTTTCAGAATACATTGGAGTAACTGGAGCAAGATCATTTTCATGAATTACTTTTCTCTCTACTTCCAGTCAAGATGCAGAATTGAAAGGAACTTTTAAAGTTCATAGTTCATACAGAATAACTCCTAGAGACCAAATGTCAGACTCAAAGCTATGCTCTCTTAGAAATACTTCAGGAGCCATATAGCATGGAGTTCCTCAGAGAGTATTCCGAGTCTGGTCTGAAGTCTCCAATTCTGCAGATTCACCAAAATCGCCAACTTTAACAATTCCGTTATCAAACATAAAAATATTATCTGGTTTGAGATCCCTATGAATTATATTGCTATTATGAATCTCTCTAACAGCTTTGGCAATCTGCACAAAATAGTTCATAATTTCCTTCTCAGTAAAATACCTTGGCTCTGCTTGATAATTTCTTCTCCTAATTTCATCCTTTAAAGACCCAAGAGGGGCATATTCCATCTCAATTTTAAAGTACTCATGGACTTCTTTCCTTAAAGAATCCGCAAATTTCGAAATAAACCCTGCATGATAGCACTCAATAATATTAGGGTGGTCAAACTTAGCCAGGATGGTTGCTTCCTCGGCCATTTTCTTGCGTTCTTGGCGATTGCCAGGGGAGAAATTCCGGATTTGCTTTATTATGATCTTTCTGGACTGCTCAGTGTCCTCGTACAGGGAAATTTTGGAGTGGGGCTTGGCTGTAGGGTTAGAGGAGATTGGTACTTTTGAGAGTGTCGATCTTCTTGTAGGTTTGGGAGGTGGCCAGGGTGTTCATGGTATACCGTTTGTTTAGTTTAAATTTTAAGTTGTCAAATTTTGCGAATTTTAATGGGGTTTTGGGGTTTTGGGGTTTTGGGGTTTTGGGG